TAGGATCCCTATTGCTCCTCCAAAGGGGCTTTCTCTCTCATTAATGACTTTTGTTATACACAAATCGACTCAACCTACTATTCAGATGACTTATGATCATTTTTGCCTTACTTTGTGTTAGCCAATCACATCCAACCGCAACAGAGATTATAGTTTGTGATAGTAGTTTGATAAAATGCAGAAACGCAGTTAACTTGATGTTTTTTTTTTCTACCTGTCATCATATGAGCTGATCCTCTTGCCTTGGACCTCCCTGGAGGGGGTGTAGGAGAGCAGGCCCAGGTTCTGCAGGTCTGTCATATAGTGTTGCTCTGAAAAAAACACAAGCAAACCACACAATGTTCACAATAATGTGCAGCAAACGACTAAACGCGCTGCAGAAACATAAGCAATGCAAGTAAAATGACATGATGCTGCAAGTACCAAAACCAACAGAAGGTGTAAAACATTGAAACTGAAAACTGGCTCCACCAACAGAAAAACAGCAGTGGGGTGGACCAATAGGGGGAGGCAATCACCAAGTCTGGTGATCCCACACAATTAAGACATCAACATGATGCAAAGATGTTTTTGGTAAGATTACTAGAAGGATGTACGTAATATACGTAAATATTGGCTGTAGATTTTCGTTAAATATAGAAAATCATCATAATTATGTAGGAAACATTAGCATGTTGATCTTTACTGAGAGTCTGGTTCCAACTGTCTGGGAGAAAGACTAAATAATGGCCTAGAAGTGTTTAGTTGCTTTTTTTTTGGCACTTGCAAAATTTTCATTGAGCTCCAATTTTGTAACTTTTCTTTTGCAGTATTTATTGCATTTGTTTGTTTTTTTTGTGTGTTTTGGAGTTTGCACCAACATAATCTTTTCTAGAGTGCTTTAATACAGCTATGGTTGAAAATAAAAGTGCTTAACACGGTTAAAACAATGAAAAACGCACAATAAAATAATAAAATATAGCATATGTATATATACTTACAACTAAGTCATGCTAGTGTTAAAGGCCAACAACTAAAAGTGAGTCTTAAGCCGTATTTTAAAATTTGACAGTGAAGGAGTCTCTCTGATGTGCAGCGGGAGGTTACTCCATAAATGAGGAGCAGTGATAGAAAAGCTTTCGTCCCTCTTGAACTTCAGTACCTGAGGAGCATTCTATGTTTTGGGACCGCAGCCTGATTTTATCGTAGGGTTATTGTTTGGAACTAGTTTTTTTGTTCCTGTGTGTTTTGGAGTTTGCATCATTCATGTGTTTGCAGCAGATTAAGCTCTTAATGTTACGTTCATTAGTTTGCCTTCAACCAGCGGAGCAAACTCTTAGGTTCACAATAAGGTCAATTTAGCTTAGATTTTTTTCCCTCTATAAAAACTTTTGTGTGAATTCATGCTCCTTCTGTTATATGATTAACGTAATCTCACTTGCTCATTTATGTCTCTGTAGAAATGATCTGTAGAATGTTCTAATGATTTTAAATAAATGACTATGGCATTAGAACAGACAAGAAGTCCACTAAAATAATAATAATAATATTAAAGCATTATGTAGCTTATTGAAGTCTTAATATCAATAGCATCTTTTTGATTAATAATTATCTTTTTCAGTTTAAAAAAAAACTCACTAAGAAGTTCATTACGGTACTAAAAAATGAAGGAAAATCTTTTATATTTTAAAGACAAATTTCCATGGTAACCTTTGATCCTGGGGTCACTCTTCTGTCTCCACTGAGGCACCAGAGCACTAATGTGACGATGACCTCTGTCCCAAAAGTGCTGAACAGCAAGAGCTATTCCTCTGCAGGAGAAGAAATGACCCAAGCCGTGACTGAGGAAGACCCAGAGAGAGAGAGACAGAGAGACACAGTTAATAAACAAATAAGGAATGATATAATACCAAAATAACATTTCAGTCGTCATCATTTACCTTTATCCTTTTAGATTACCTGCTGCCACACATCTGAGGTTTAGAATAAAAATTAATTTCTATAGATTTCATTTACATAGGCCTCACAAAACAAGAAAAGGTCAAAAAGTTGACATTTTTAAAGCTGGGATTTGTCCTTTTGGTCACTTAGCCAAAAGAATAAATATATGTATATGTATGAGAACATGGTTGTTAGTCATAAACTGGTAGTTGTTAGTAAGCATTCACCAGGTAAAGCTATTAGGATATACCAATGCTTTAGATACCTACAAACATTCCTTTTACCTAACGTCTATGTTTCTTTGATTGTATTGCTTTAGAATGAAGTCAACAATTTCCTTCCCACTAAAAAAAAGAAAAATTGGTCTATTTGAAAATATCAAAGGACTGGTTGCGCTGTTTTATTGCAGCAAGACATTTCTTGCTTTTAATTTATATGTTCTCCCAGTAAGTCAATGGGTTCTCTGTAGATTTTGAGACGTCCTCCTAGAGATAAAAGGTTGAGTGTTTGGTTAATTTTCTCTCCAGACCCCTTTTGTCATGGTCTTGGCTCTGATAGTTGGCATTATCATTTACTGTTGTCACCTGTCTAATTGGCCCGGCGGCTCATTAAGTTCATTTGTCCACCTGGATCCTGCTAACTGTTTGCCTACCATCGCTCCAGGTTATTCGAGCTGTTTGGTGAGAGTAACTATAGCATTGTTAATATTGCTCTGAGTTATTCATTCTGACCTGTTTCTGCATTTTGTGATTCCCGAGTTTTGCTTTGCCCTTGTCTGCTCCGTTAAGGGCTGGTTATCCTCCCGCAGCAGTGTGTCGCAGTGAGCTTGTTGCAGGTATGACGCAGATATTTTTGATTTATGCCCAATTTTTAAGTGTGGGCTGAGCTATACTATTCCACGCCACGACGCAAGAGGGACAATCACGAACTAACTGTGGGTCTGGATATGGCAGAGGAAGTGGAAAAACGCAAGGGGCAAGTTTGTGCGACAACGGAGTGGAAAAAGGGTCCCAGGGTTCTCGCACACCTCACTCTTCTAGCTGGTCCATCTTCATAAGTTGTTTTACGCAATGGCGGTTATACAAACAAAACAAGCCAGTAAGGTACCAAACAGGAAATACGCATAGTGTAGAGTGGAGGTAGATTTGACCAATCAGAGGCCTCCTGTCTGTGGCACTGTTTGAGGGTCATCTACAGTTTCGGAGAGGTGCACCGGAGTGTCTGCGGAAGGTGCAGGGGCATATCTGTGTTAACACAAGCAGAGGACCTGTTTTCTGAGTACAAATCAGCCTTTAGTCGAAATTATTCTGGACTGATTCCTGGATTCTACCGATTAACCGAAGTTGGAATGTGCTTCTGACCTTGGCTTGGATTCTCCTCCGGTACCTCCTAGGCTCTCTGATCTTCTGGTCTGTAAACCTGGCTCTACTTTGATTTCGGCTCTGGATATTCCCTCACGGACATTGTTGCTCCTCACTGGTGGCTTGCGCTCATCACTCTGAACTCTGGGGAAGGCACCCGCGCCAAGTGGTGGACAAATCTCCCGTTCGGATTCATCTCCTTCCTCTGGGATCGGACTGAACTAAGAACTAGGTTAAATACTTTTGCTCATAGTCATGTTCAGCCATTTATTCTAAGTCACTAACCTGAGTTTCTATCATTACAGAGGATCTAGTTTATTTCCACCACCTTCATAGTCTAAATAAAGTCTTGTTTGAAATTTTCCAGAACTGTCTGCTTTGAATATTGGGTCCAAGGTTCTGAGCTCTTGACACTTTTACGTTTAACTGTTTCTTTGTGTGGTTGTACATCTCTTTGTGGCCCATTTATGGGTCAAAAACATGTCCAGGATTTACACTTCCTTTGCAAGGATAAGCAGGTATAGAAAATGGATTGATAGATAGAAATATAAACAGCTGTGAGAAAGTCTTTGGAAATTAAAAGTATTTAGAAAGTGTGAAACAGCAGCGTGCAAAGAACATGCAGAGTAATCTACCGTACAGGTGAAATCTGGCTTTGTGTTCACTATCGGATATATTGAAAAATGTTTCGCAAAAAATTATTGCTAATTTAAGCGGGTTTTCATTGTGTCTGCCTACATCTGAATTCATATAACAACCAACACAGTTGTCCTGGGAAGTTTACATACCGATCCATTTAAGACCGAAAAATATATATAAACAAACACTTGCATTAAGGGTCAGATTAGCATTGGCATTTAAAGCAAAACATCCTCACATTGCAAAGAAAACAAAAACAGAATTTTCATTTCTTCCATCTACTGAATGCTAGCCACTGTACACTGCAAAAAAATTCAATTTTTCTTATAATAGGTGCATTTTTTCTTGAATTGAGACACTTTGCAGATGGAACAAGACAATTAACATTTAGAATAAGAAATAAAAACTACAGTCTCTTATTTCAAGTGCATATTATCCAATTATCTGATTTTAAAGGTAAAAATGCTCATTCCATTAGCAGATCATCTTATTTTCCTACTCAAATTAAGGATAAATAGACTTATTCTAAGAAGTTTTTAACTCATTTTTAGAACATTTTTCAATGTGTGACTTTTTTTTAAGTGTGCCTCTAAAAAACAAACAAAAAAAGCTGCTTTTAAGACTTCTCACCTCATTGCTACGTTGCTCCCGTCGATAATAATTGCCCTCAGGTTCGGGTCTCCAGGCTTGTCTGTAAGTTTTAGCAGAAAGGGGGTCTGAAGACCCTCCAGGAAGCGCTGCTCTCCCGTCACCACCACCGAAGGGGAGGGCATGAACGGCTGTCTATCTCTTGCTCTGGTGGAGGGTGGATCGTTCCCCAAAAAGATGTTGGGCTGAGCTTGCTGCTCTTGTTTTGATGAATTTGCAGAGTGGCGTTTTGAGTTGGTTGCATTGATGTGAGGTTGGTGCTTTTGTTTGGACGTAGCTGGATTGAGCCGGTAGTTGTTTTGGCCTTGTTGCTTGTTATGATAAAAAGGAGAGGTGAGTGGAGGATCTAGGGAGGAAGAATACGTAGGCATGGGGGGCCCTTTGACTTCCTGCAGGACGTCTTGGTGAGGTCTTAATTTGTTTAAAGGCTGTTGATAATTGGACTGTGAGGTGTATTGATTGGTAGGCAGCTGTTGTGGTTTATCACCCCAGGTACACAGGTCCACTTCTGCTAACAGTGCAGAATGTGTTGGCACTTTAATTTGTCCTTCATCAGAATTTCTTATCTCTTTATGGCTGAATAGGTCAAATCCCCCCTTTGCTTCAGTTAACGCTGGTCCAAAATTTGGTCCTTCTCTCTCCATCAACGCATTATGAATTTCAGCAGTTTTTTCCTTGTAGCCTTCCGTCTCACCACTCCCTTTTTTCTGCAGCTCCAGAAGCAGCTGGTGAGTGGACCCCTCAGCCAACATGCTGTAGACTTTGGTCACATTCTCCTCAGTGTACCCACAGGTAGCCGCCGCTTTCTTCATCACCCCCAGCACGAAGTCTTCCTGTTGTTCTGTCTCATTTTCCTCTACACTGGCCTCTCCCTGAGAGTGTTTTGGAGTGTTTCTTGTAACCTCCACTTCCTCTCCTACCAGAACTCCTCTTACTTCACCATTGCTATGCTTTATTTTACTCCCTCCTGGTTGTATATCCTCCTCCTCTTTGTGCTCCGTCTCACAGGGCTGTTCTTCTCCCAAAGCGACACCATCTTGTTTTTTTGTGCCTGAACCACTACAAATGTTCTGCTCTCGGTCACTGAGATCCTGCTCCTGTTGAACCAAGTCTAGAATCTGCGAAGCCTCTTTAGGTCCTGTTTTTTTAAGGACACGTTTCACAACGTCCTCCGTGTACCCCATGGCTGTGAAGAATTTTAAAAGAAGCCAGAACTCCTTGTTTCCCATCGACAACTGCCGCTCCGGCTCTTCGCTGTCCCCTTGTTGTTTGTCCATGTTGACGCCCGTTGCTTGTTTCTCAAGTTGTTCCTCTTCTCCCACTTCCTGGGGAGAGTGTAAGAGTCTTTCCTCAGACCCCTCTGCTTTTCCTCTGTTGCCTACAGGAGAAAAAATGTCTTGGACAGAGGAGTTCCTGGCCACAGAGTCATCATTTACCAGCTTTCCTTCAGCCAACCAATCAGTGCTGCTGAAAGGATGGAGGTACGTTTGATTATGCCCGCTGGATTTCCCCCATTCATCTCTAGAGTCCCCCTGTAATTTTACACCTATATTCTCATGCACCAGTGCTAAGTTTGCACTTGATCCAAGGCCTGATTCTTTCACCAAATCCAGAAGGATTTCCTTCACTGCTCCTGGTAGTACAAGAAGATCCAGGATATGCCTATCCTCCCATTTCTCCACCAATGCTTTGAAGGCCCTCCGTGAATCCAGGGACTCACCCAGGCCTCTATCCCCCATCTCAGTGCGTCTGGTCTGCGTGCCTTCATACCTCGCCACCAGGTCTGCAATCAGGGAGTAGGCTTGCACCACCGGCTCATCTAAACCTGATATGAGCAGTGATCCAATTGAGCCCACCTATTTGGTCAGAGAAAATATTACATTAGAGTCAGTCATCTGACAGAAAATCCTAGTGACTTAAAGATGAGATGAGGTAGACCCACAGACCTCTAAAACCACAATTATAAATTAACTTAATTTCTTTTGAAAAAGAATTCTAGAGTTCAGATGTAAAGAGATGTGTTTTTGCTTGTTGCCACAAAGATAATTTCATGTCAATCAACAAGTGATGGCTGAAGAAGAATCTATAGGAGGCATTTTCCTCAAGTCTGAGCTTAAAAGGCAGGACTTTTTTCTCATGCTATAAATGTTTACATGCCCAAAATCTAATTGAAACGTGTTTGAACTCAAAACTAATTGGATTTTACTGTTTATATAGGCATAAAGTTATGGGAACATAAAGACCAGTCCTACTAAAAATGTGGCCTGTAAACGTGCCAGTTTGAACATTCTGTGTGTCATTCTGGCGTAGGGTCTAACCATTCATCCAGATCAGCTTGCCTTATTCAACATAACTTGATCCTGATGGGCGTTTATATACACACTGATTCACATATATTTTTTTGTTTATTCTGACTTACGTCCATGTAAACGCAGCTATTGTTGCATATAAGCTTTTTGGTTCAATAAACACTGTAAGACTATGACGCTTTAGCGGCTAACTCTGTAGCAGTTTGATTACCACATAGAGACGCTGCAGTTTATTTTATAGTGTATAAAGCTACTACCATTAAACTTCCTGAATTACAGTATATACTATGCACTTGTGCACTGAATGGTTGTTTGTTCTGTTTGTTCTGCTGGTGTACCCCGCCTCTCACCCATTGTCAGCTGGAGATAGGCACCAGCACCCCTCGCGACCCCAGTAGGGATAAGCGTGATTGAAAATGGATGGATGGCATGATTACTGCTTTGAGTGGGTTGCTTGTTCGGCTAATGGCAAATGGCTTTATAACAGAGAACGATTTCAATAAATCATTTAATCACTAATTATCTGATTAATTGTTTGAGCCCTAAAACACGCCAAAGAATGAAAGAGTTTGGAAGAAGGTTGAAGCTACATTTTAGATTAAATGCTTTTCTTTTCTGTACATATTGCTGGTATGACTAAACCTAACAGCAACTTTATAGAGGTAGCAACATGAATGAAATGTTCTTTTCTTGCAACAAGTTTCTGTTGGTAAAAGTACCTTTAAATTGTGGTAAACATAGATGGTGAATCTGAAATGATCCATAATTTTCTGAGTTAAAGGAATTTAAATAATTGGGAAAACATTCATTCAGTTCATTAGTACTTTTAGAGAAAAGGGGGTTTATTTCTGTTAATTTCAAACCTTGCAAAACCTGCAAAACCAACTAGAAAGGAATTTTTCTAAGGGTAAATTCCAAGCCCTGCAGCTCATAATGAAAAAGAAAGCCGTAAAAAAGTAAATTTCTGGTACGTTGCAGTTTTACTTTTTAACCAAGCTGTTAATAGACGAGAAATTCCCAGTCACACGGCACCTTAATGCGTCTTGTTTTTAGCTGATGATGTAACACTGAAGTTAAGCAATCGTGTAGTTTAAAAAAAAAAAGAGCTAAAAATGTAATTCTTAGATATTTTATTATTGCTTAATATTAGCAGTGCAACATAACCAAAAACGTAAAACTTGTCATTTGTTAATTTGTTAGGGATTATTCCCAATGACTCAGTCTTCTAAATACTGTCCCTTTAAGAGGCATTTGCTTTTCTGTTTTTACAACCTGATGATTAATAATCAAACTAAGAACAGTTTCACTCTTTTACATATTCAAACTGTATGACAACTATGGAAAGAAATGTCCTGACACAAACGATTTCTAAATACTTGGTCTTCATTTCACCCACAGATGTTAAACTGACATTTCATTAAAAAAAAAAAATTACCAGAAACATTTTTTGGATGCGATCAGTATCTGAAAGTTTGGTTCTTACCACAATGAGTGCTGACGTGTTTTTTATCAGGCTGTCCATGAACAGCCCTTTGGCTCCACAGAAGATGCAGTGAAGGGGTCCTGGATACGGGACTTCCTGCTGATTCTCCTGATTCACCACTCCCTTTATAAATAGCTGGAAAATAACAAAAAAAAAATGTCACCTCCATGCTGTGTTGTTCAACTGACAATAACTACAAGCCTAGGACTGCAATTAATACTATATGTCTTTTGAAGTTTTCCATATAGTCTATATTGTGTCAAATTCCATATATTCATATTTCTTACCATATAAAAAAGAAAGCAGTTTGGTTATTCTTTTATTGTTCTGTATCAGAGAATATAACAGTTAAGACTTATTTTGTAACCCTTTAATGACAACCAGCATCTCATGGATAGATATGGGCAAGTTTCACTTCTTGCAGGGTAAAAAAATCATCTTTTTTAAAGACCAAAAATGATCATGTGATTATAATACTGCCATAATAATACAATATAATAGTTATTACAGCTATAATATTTTATCATGACATAAATTTTTTAGGATTTTGATTTTTTCAATGTAATACAAAATCGAAAATTAATAAACATAAAATCTAATGGAAGTTTAGTAGTAAATGCTGAATATTTTATGCAAGCTAATGTTACCTGGTTGGTAAACCTGCTATAAGTGGACAAATTACTCCCTTTGTAAACTTCTTGGAGTCTGGCTTTTCTTTCACTATTTTTTAAAATTTCGTTGAAAGGCCTTCAAACCACGGGAAGAACATGATGGAAAACTTTAGTGATCGTGAAACTTTAGCACTGATAAACATCTCACCCTTTTAAAATTACTAAGAGGCATTCAAGAGAGACTTCATTATCAGAAATACATAAAACATAAAGAAAATCCGACAAAACAGACAAGAGATGAAGACTGATCACAGCAGATCACAATAATCACCTACGATCACATAAAAAGGAAATAAATTAGCTTTTAGTTGCATTCAGCAAACTAAAGGTGTGTAAAATCTGCCTTCTGCTGAAAGATAATGTTTGACAGAATTTAAAAAAACAATCTACACTTGAAACGGTGACCATCATAGAGACTGATGAGGAACTACAGCTGATCTGACAAAGAAAATGGGGAAAACACAGAGTCACCAGGAAGGTGAGTGCACCGAGATGCAGGTGAAAACAATACAGCCTCTTCAAAGGCAGGAAATGGAACTAAAGCCTCTTTCCCACTGAAATTAGCAGGCTAACGTGGGTTTGGCTCGACCCGCTAACAATTGGCATTTACCTCCCTTCCCATTGGCAAAATAAGTCCGATCTGACCCCCGCTGGAAAGCTGTGTGGCCTCTCTGCCTGCTCTGCTATGTGTCTGACGCCATCACGCTGGGTTAGCGTTGATGATGTCATCAGTGTGACAGAAGTCAGGAAAGTAAACAATGGAGAGCAACATAAAAGGGAGCCAGGACATAGTCAGCGTGCTTTACTGTTTTTTTTTTTTTTTTTTTGTCCCTCTGAATCTTTCTCATCAGTGCTGCACCATGTTTATCGAAGGTAAGCAGAGTTGTTATGACTTTTCTTATCAAATGGGAGTGGGGTGATGTATTGATGTCCGTACATTGCACTCGATGGTATCATGTAATTTAGCTGGTTGACCCATGTCTGATGCTCCCACAGCAGTTCGAGCTGAGCTGTTTGAAGGCGATTTTAACCCTTGTCACTTGCTAAGTTGTTTGACCTGGGTCGACATGGGTCAGTCATTGTTCTGGGTTTAAACCTGTTGTTCCGCCAGTGGGAAAGGGGTATTACTGTCGCTTTGAGAGGATGTTGCGTTTACATGGAAAGGGTATGGTATGTAGGTAAACACAAAAAAAAAAAAAAAAAATGGGACTGAATCACAATCCCCTTAATGATTGTTGCTGTTAATGGCACTCATGGAGGACCCGATAAAGGTGGCAGCAATACTTGGACGGGGTAAATGTGACCATGAGAAGATTCAAAGCTATTGCCAGTTCAATTTCAGGAGCCCCTGAGTCTCGGTCATGACAAAAGGAATGGTGCGACATGCTGGCCACCAAGGTGTTCAAGGACAACATTTTGTGAAACGTGCTTGGGAAGGTTAATCTCACATAGAAATGGAGTAACCTTCAACAGGATTTATCCATAAAATAGAAATCCAACATTTCTATTTAATAATTCAGCCCATAAAACCTATAATAGAAGTTACACCTAACTCCAATAACCCCACTCTCATAACACCTCACTCGTTGATCTGATTGGTCACAGTACTGTCTTATGGTACAGAGATTTGAAAGACAACCGCATCACCCACCAGTCCTGCAAATGGAGCCTCTTCAGACCCAACATCTTAATGTGGGTCTGTGCTTGGCCAGGCTGCTGGCTAGCTGGCATAGTATGCATCACACCTATCGCTCGTTGACCATGGGAGACAGAGTCCTATAAAACTGATCCCTTTAGAAACTTCCCCTAGCATCATTTCCTATCCGTACAACCTCATTCTACTCTTATCTAAAGCAGACGGGACAGGTTAAAACAACAACAACAAAAACAAAACAACAGCTTATGATGGTAGGTGGTATAAGGGGATGGAGAGTAATGGGCGAAGCTGGTTATTGTGTATCTGTACCATTTTATTTTGGTCACTTTGTGGCAAACATGTCTGTCTGATTCCTTATTTATTCATAATGCTTTCTACGGTGACTAAATTGAGGGAATTAATTTTGTTTAACAACTATAGCTAACTCTGACACACTGCAGCAAAAAGGTCCTGGGTGTGATTCTTACCCTGGGGTCTTGCATGTATTTGTGTCTTTTTGACGTGAATGCATGGGTTATTTAAAGGTACACTAGCTTCCTCTAGATTAAAAGAAATTATTTTTATTTCAATTGGTTAACTGTGCAAGGTGTAACTAGGCTTTTGGGCATAAACTGTTGGAGATAGGCACCAGCCTCCTGTGACTGTGACTGAAAAGTGGTAGAAGATGGATGGATGGAATAATCAAGAAAAACGATGGGATAGTACAAAATGAGTCAGCTTTTTTCCAGATTAAAATGAGGAACTATAAACAGTAATAAACTGGTAAACAAAGGTGGATTAAATGGTAAACAAATGAGAGTGGGTGGTTTCCATGCTTTAAGGCTGGTTTATGCTCAGAAACCAGGTCGCATGTCTCCAAAATTGTAGGTGACCACAGACAGTTTCGCAAACAGGAGGCCTCTGATTGGTTAAATCTACATCCGCTCTACACTATGCGTATTTCCCGTTTGGTACCTTACTGGCTTGTTTTGTTTGTATGACCGCCATTGTGGAAAACGACTCAAAGTTGGACCAGCTAGAAGAGCGAGGTGGGCGAGAACACTGGGACCCTTTTTCCACATGGATCCCTGCTCTTTTTCGCTCTCATGTCCCTCCGTTGTCGCACAAACTTCCCCCTTACATTGTTTCCACTTTCTCACTGCTTCGGCCGTATCTAGACCCACAGCTAGTTCGTGACGTTCGTTTAATATTGAAGCGCAGACCATGCTTCAATATTGAGTATAAATCAAAAATATCTGCATCAAGCTCCCTGCGACACACTGCTGCAGGGAGGATAACCAGCCCTTTAGACTGAATATACAGTATGACAGCTAAGAAGAGCAGAGTAATACTCTCCCAAAGACAGATGAAGCAACACATGCCTGGAACCACCAGTTAGACACTAAATGTGCTGCTGTTAGGTTATTGAACCACAACAAACTTTGCTGCACTATAAATGGATACAAACTTCAAAAGTGTAATTGCGTTCATTAGTCATGGGCCATCTCCTCTGAACAGGTTTGAGTGTGACACTTCTGGGTGTGACACGTTTTGCATTTTTATAAGTAAGCCAGTCATCATCCGGGAAGAACGACACTTCAATGAAGTTAGTCACTGATAAACAATGGGTAAAAACACTAAACAACACATGGATGATGTTGCGATTTTTCATGAGCTGAACCCATAGATCTAAGACATTCTTTGGAGACAAAAGGTCAGTTTCTTTCTAATATTCTTCTAAAATCTGTTGATGAGTGCCAAATCAAGATGGAGAGTAGACATTGGGATTAATGCACAGGTGTGCCTTGCTGGCTACAGTAATAGGCCACTTTATACAGGCTTTTATTGGACCGCACATTGTCACAGATGTCCCACCTTTTCGGAGAGGATGCAGTCGGATCGCTGACGGAGGGAATGTCCTGCAGAGATGCTGCTCGTATACTGAATATTATTTCTCTACCAAAGGTCGTTCAGGGATTTTACCATTCAGTGTCCCTCCACCATTATAGTCTGAAACCAACCAGCTGGGCAGCTGATGCAACACTTGTTTTGCATAACCAAAAACTTTCCACACAAATTGTCAAGAGACCATCATGTTCATGCTTGTCGTCATCATGCAGTTCATCATCTGCACCAACTAGATGGAGAAAGTGCAAACACTGGGTGGCACCTAGTCCTTTTCAGAGGTTTACTTTTCATTCTTCTGATGTCTAGCAGTGGGATAATTATGAAATTAATTATGAAAGCCATAATTTATTTTCCCTTTCCGATTAATAAAGTATTTCTGAACGGATTTAATTGAAATCAATCTAAATTGCCTTTCTAATAACACCTCAAAGCATACTTAGCATCTAATGACCTCAAAACAGTACAAGTGTTGAAACATCCTCTTAATTAACATATATCCACATTGAAAAACATTATATTTTTTGTCTCTCCTATACTGTTTAAATTTTGATCACCGCTGCACTTTAAGGGAAATGTTCATTTCACTGCTAAACTGCTCATTCAGTGTCAGGAAAGCTGTATGTATTGAAATTCTGTGTATACAAAATGACAATTAAATTTGTCTAAGTCTTTTATTGTTCAATCAATCAATAAGCAACAAAAACAAAACAAAAAAAAATAATAATCCTTAACTATCTTACCTGCAGATCACAGGCCAACTGATTGGGCTGGAATATAGCTTTTTTTTTACCCTACTAGAACATTTATTTGTATTGCTCTGACATTTTATAAACACGTAAATCCATTTTAAGCAAACGTCTGCCTAAACCAAAAAGAAGAAAAAAGGAAAAAGGAGTCCCCCCCATCTCCCCATCTCGTTGCTTTGCTAATATTCAGATCAGGCTAATTAGGTTACCCTCGTTTATACCAATACACAGCTTCCCATGTTAAAGCAGGCTCAATTATATGAGATTATATATTATATAGATTATATTATATGATTGCTAATGCGTCTCAGAGGTATTATTTTCAATAATAAAAAAAAATAAGAAAAAAAGAAAAATACACACTAGCGCCAACATTAAGTTGTTGTTTCACCTCCTCCTGCCAGAACATGCAGATGAGCTTTAAAACCCAGACTGGTTTCTAAATGACTCATCGAACATGTGGGCCAACCTCTGCTTTCTGACACTGTAGGTGGTGCTCAGCAGAATCCGCTGTTTCTTTGCTGATTTGACTTAGCTTTGTTACAGTACTGCCGCATTAGTGGCGATGGTTCTATTGCTACCGCTTATCCGTGACCGACCTCACATCAGCCGTCTTCAGCTTGCTGATCTTTGGATGGATTTAACCCCTTACGCCCGGTACTGGGCCAAACTGACACCTCCTCATGTTTATCTATTTATAGAAAAGGCCAAAACACTGTCACATGGTGTTTCATCCACACACCTTTCAAATAGGGCTTTAAAATTTCTAAAATATTTTCACACCTGACATGTGTGACTCTGTGGGAGTAATGCAACAGCAGGTATTCATTTTTAGCCCCACCCCCTAATGGCAACCTAGAGGCTCAGACCTTTCCATGGAGGGGTTGGATGTAATTGTGCGACCATTTCAGGTGATGTAACCAGCATGCGTTACATAAGCTTGTTTTGTTATTCATATTTTTTATTCAGTTTGGTGAAATTATTGGTAAATTTCAATGAAACAACAGCTAAATCTTAGGAGTAAAGGCTTTTTTCTTATGCAGAAGGTCTCCAAAAATGTAAATCAGCACATTTGTCTGACAAAAATCTCTTTTAGGAGCGGAAAAATGCAAAAATCCCGTTTCTGCCTAGCACACTGCTCACTAAAACCTTTGTGGAACAAACATGCTTCAACTCATTCAGTCCAAATTTGCTTGAGTTATAATCAAAATTTGGATCTATAAAGTCTGAGGGTTCATCCAGAGTTTCAAATGGGGTGTTTTGTGGTGTTTATTTTGGAAACAAATTTGGCGAGGCTAAATATTTTCCTTTTTTTTTTTGTTTAATCACCTATAAATCAGACATGGTGACATTTACAATAGTGGTTCCACCTGAAAAATATTCCTCAATGCCTTTCTGTCATACAAATACAAACAATTGCATTTCCAATTTATATTTTGGGAGCTGCACTTGCTTTTATTCAAATATGTAATTTCAAGCGAAATTTGCTCCTAAGACCCTCTGGGCTTAAGTGTTTAGAGCAGGAATGTCAAAATGAAGACCTTAAGGGACAGTATTCCCTGGTCCTGCACTTCTGCAGCAAATGGCTGAATTACCTTCTCAGTATGGCGTCAAGTTTTGCAAAGTCCTGCTAACGACCTGATTATTTGCCTCAGGTGTGTTAAAGCTGAGACACTTACAAAAGGTGCAGGACAGCGGCCCTCAGTGACCAGAGTGTGACACCTCTTATTTACAGGATGTAAGGAGTCAATATGGCTGCTTAGATGCAACTTCACTGACAGTCAATAAAAGGTTCAAATAAAAGTAAACATACAAGGAGGATCTCTGTTTTGGGGGAAACCGGCTCATTAAACGTAACACAAAGCAGGAAAAGCGCCTTACTTTGGCAGCCTTCACGTCGCTGCTCTGGCCTTGTAGCTTCAGCCATATCTGACCGTTGTTCCCGTTGGGTAAATCGTCTGCTCCTATTCCAAATGTCACCCTGAATATTCGTTCCACTGTGGCGTGCATGGAAGTCAGAGATCCTCGGAGCATCCCAGCGCAAGCGAACTCATCCTCGACTTCTTGCTCTCCGCTCCCTCCTTCAGCCCCTCTGCTCCTTTTCGCGTCCATCTTGCAGTCTTAAATCAGTAGCTAAGGTTCAAACATACTGTGAAAAGAAAAAAAACAACAGCCAAGATGCTTAAGATCATGGAAGGCGACTGGTAATTTTATTATGATAATAAAGAAGGACAAATATGAGGAGAAAACAACTAATTTCCCTACTCAAATTAAGGGTAAATACACTTAATTTAAGAGATTTTTCCAATTTATTTGGTTGTAGCTGTTTTTTTCTTTTCTTAAAATGATACACCTGTGGTAGAAATGCTTTTTACTCTACAAATGTCATAAGTACAGAAGAGGATTAGGGCCAATGAAAAAAATTAAAAAGTTACATTTTATTTCAATATAATATGAGAAAAAAATTCAGAATTCTGACTTTAAACTCAGAATTCAGATTTTAAACTCAGAATTCAG